CAGGCAGTGCCTGCGTGTCATTTCCTGCTCTGCCCCCTTGCCGTGCGCACGCTCAGTTTGTCCGACATCCTTTGCTTGCCTTTACTCCCCCCGCTGTGGGTCAAGACCCACTTTAGTCGATTTCTCTGATCACTGACATGTTCTACTTGACCCCGTTCCCATATTTATGTACTGGTTTGACGATAATTCGTCGAAGGCAAGCCAATGTTCGCTAACTAGTCTTCTGGATACTGCCATGGGTATTTCCGAGACTCTATTTGAACCTCCCGCACTCGCGCATGAGAACATTAAAAATTAATTCAAATAGGTATCTTTTGCACTGTCTTTTCTCCTGTCGATTTCATGTGTGCTCTGGGCGAGAAAGAGACAATGCCTTAAACGTTTTATTCAGTTTGGTAAATGTATATTGGCGTTTTATCCATACGTCTCAGGTGATGATTTACTAGAAATGATGGAATTGTGTAAGGGTGATATTTTATATTGAGTACAAATTGACAGTACAGTCAGATCGTGGTTCCGTGGTGTAGTGGTTATCACGTCTGCCTAACACGCAGAAGGTCCCCAGTTCGAAACTGGGCGGAGCCATATATTACTGGCTTTTTGTCAACACCACGGCCGCACGAAAATTTCGAGAAGTCGCGCAGGCGTCTGGACGTGCGTTTTACCAGTGGATAATTGAAGGACTTTCGGCGCAGAAAGACCTATCTGTTCCTTCTCATGTGTACTGAAGTAGTTCAAATGGAAGCACAATTCTATGACAAGGGAGTTCAATCTCGCATCCGTTTGAAGCATAAATCTGTCAAGGTTGCATCAATGATGACATCACGGCATCTGCGGGTATCGCCGTAGATGTCCCCGAGTGCAAACCATATGGTTTGATTACCCTGACAGAGAAGGTGAACTTGCGTACGCGCGCGCCCAGCAATTGCCTGCTGAATATTCGCATATGCGAAGTTTCAATGGGTGACCTCGGAGGTTGTTTGTGGTAGCCCTGTATAGTGACAATCCACGATGCTTGACGAAGATGTCTGGAACCTTGTGTTCCAGACACTTCCAGTCCTGGTTAATGGGATTAACATTCAGTGGACGCTTGGCCGGGAAGGCGATTGGACACCGTTCTTTGGGTGTTTGCGCAGGATAGGCTCAGGGAATTTTCACGAAAACGTGTGGTCGAGAGACGCATATCGGAGTGGCGGGAGACGTCCACCTCCGGATGTCCGAAATGGGATGAAACCCGCCTGCACCAAGTGCAACGGCAGATGAATGTGAGGAGTACCTCCTCTATAGTAGGTGTGACAGCAAGCATCTCTAGTTATAAGTACAGCCTATAGGCTGTCTGGTCAAGCAGTTGCTCTGCTGTCCAAACTGGCCACAGTCAATCAAGCGTTGGGTATCCTTTGATGATGAAAACTATGAAGTAGGGGTTAATACGGTCAGAAATGTACATCTGCTCGGATTCGCATTTCGTAATCTGAAAAGTTAAAATAAGTGCTACTTAATTGGATTGTGTAGTATAATAATTAGCGTGCGTTAAGTGTCGGTCGTATGCGCGTGCGCTCCCCTCCAGCAGATACCCAGCTTAGGCAATGGTTGACTAACCGCAAGAGTCAGAAATTAGTAGAAATGGCACCACGTACGACTAACCACTGTTCCTTCCACCCTCCTGTCTCGCTCATGTGATTGCGTTAGCGTTGCATATGCAGTGCCATTGGAGGTTGCTTCTGGCTCACTGACTCTCATATCTTAACGGCTCGCCTAACCATTCCACGTTGATCTTTTTCGCGCACCTTGTGCCTTTTTGAGAAAGGCATTATAAGCCCTCACTTGTTCGATGCGACGGGGATACCACATCCGGAGGTATCTGTTGAGCCTGACTTTGCGTCCTGTGTGTACCAATTGGGCCAGTTAGCTAAGAGTCTTCAATGTTTTTACCCTCTTGAGCTGGAGCAGGGCGGTGTCGCAATAATCTACTTATCCACTTTCGTTACTACATCAGCCCTCAGACTACTTAGATTAGAGTTGGTTTGAAGCAGAAGGCAGGAACCAGCCTCGTTCCTTCTAAACCCTAAACATTTTAGTCTGCCATGTTGTAGTACTGGATTAAGCTCGGGTGAAGTATCTTGTGGTAGATCACCTCTTACTTTCGCTAACCAGAAATATTTCCTACGTTATCGCATTCACTGACTTTTATTTGATTAAATAGTTTATGGCAGTAGGCGAGGGTGTTAAGGAGGATGTATTGGTTCTATTTCCGTATGAAATGATTTATGCTGTATATCATCACAAATTAGAGCAGCCTTAGCAGAACTGAGATTGCAAAATAGAAAGAATCCGACTTATTTATGCAGCTCAATCGTTTCTTCTTAAGCATAATGACAGGAAACTAAAGGGGAGCATTATGCTACCAAAAAATGCACCAGGGCCAAAACACAAAAATCACACTGGGTCGAGTAAAATGCCATCTGCCTTGACGAACTCGTCTTTGAGAAAAATGACTCATTTGAATTAAATAACGCAGGGATTCGTTGTTAGGAGGGGTCGTCACAACCATCTCGTCCGTATGC